TCCCCCCCACCCATCCCCCCATCCCTCCTCCTCTCCTCCTCTCCTCCTTCCCCACACGTCTCACACCTCACCCTCGCCATGGCGACCATGCTTCCGTGTGTGGCCTGCTCCGTGGAGAGCGCGGACATTCCTGCCCTGACCTTGCACATGATGGCTGAGCACTCGCTTGCTGTTGCCGCCATCCGTACCATTCCGGCCCTTCCGTCGTACCTCGCTCATTACAAGGCCCTCCTTGCCGAGGCTCCGCTGGAGGACTCGTTGCGGGCGCATGCCTTTGTTCTCGCCACGGCTGCCGATGCCGATGCCCGCTACTACCTCCTTGCGCCCAAGGCTCCACACGATGCTGCGCTCCGCGCCGCGCTCCGTGACAGGGCCCTGGCTACTCTTGCCGATGTGCAACAGGCTGAGGACGCCATGGACCTCACCGCGCCCGACTCGCCCTTTGCCGGCTGCTTCCTCTGCAACGCCACCAGCGCCGACATGTCCTCGTGGCCCGCTGTCCTCGATCACCTTGACTCGGTCCACGGCCTGCGCCTCGGCCCGCGTCAGAGCCTGGTCTTCCTCCCGGAACTCATGGCCCGCCTCGCCGCCGCCGTCAACGACGAGCTCACCTGCCTCCGCTGCGAGCGCGTCTTTGACTCGCGCAAGGGCTTGCGCAACCATATGCGCAAGAAGCGCCATCTGGCCCTCAACCCGGCCAACTCGGCGTACGACAAGTTCTTCATCGACAACGCCGGCGTCTGCCGCCCGCCGCCGGCCGATCCTCCGGCATCGGCGCCGGCTGCTCCCCCGCACGCGGCAAAGTCGCCGTCTGATGATGATGACGACGACGACGACGCCACCACCGCCGCCCCCGACGTCAATGCTGCCGATGCTGCTGCCGACGCGCCTGACCAGGTTTACGACGCCCAGCCTGGCGATCTGTGCCTCTTCTGCGAGACGACCAAGCTCGATTCGGCCGCGGCCTTTGCCCACATGGCCGATGTCCACGGCGTCGACCTCCTCGCTGCCATCGCCGACCACGACTGGTCGGTCTACATGGCCATCAAGCTCGTCAACCACATCCGCAGCCACCGCGAGCGGTACTCGGCGTGCCCGGCCCAGATCCTCGACCAGGTCGCCTCCCACGGCACCCGGTTCTTTGATGCCGAGGCCAACCTGACGCCGGTGCTGGAAGACGACCCGCTCATCTCACGGCTCATCCTCGTCCTCGGCCCGGACTCGGCAACCGCCGCCGAGGCCATCGTCATTGCCGAGTCCAAGGCGCTCTCCACCGCCAACTACGGCGCCATTGCCATGGCGCTCACCGGCGACGCCGCCGGCTCGTCCGACGGGGCCGCTCTCGCCGCTGCCGCCGACTCGGACGACGACGCGCTCAACGCCGAGCTGGAGACCTTTGACGACGACGACGGCGACTTTGACCCCACTCTTGCCGCCGATGCCCGGACCAAGTGCCTCCTCTGTGACAAGGTGTGCGCCACCGCGGTTGGGGCTTGCGAGCACCTTGCCCACGGCCACGGCATCGAGTTTGGCAGCCTGGTCGGCCTCGTTCCCGACGTTTACCAGCGACTGCAGATGGTCAACCACGTGCGGCGGCAGGTGGCCGCCGGCCGCTGCCCGTTCTGCGCCGTCTCGCTGCCCAACGGCTCGTTTGATGCCCACGCGAGCGCCTCGGGCTGCGCTGCCTCGGTCCCGCTCCTCGCTCCTGACGTCCTCCGCGCGTCTATCCTTCCCGACGAGTCGCTGCTCATTCCGGTCATCCCGGCCGACCCCATGCTGCAGTACGTGGTGATGGGTGGCGGGCTCGGCGCGCCGGGCGACGACGTGTGGACCGAGTCGGACGATGAAGCTGCTTCAGAGCAGGTACTCGACGAGCGCCACTTTGCGCAGGCTGGTCTCTCGTCCGAGGACATCGAGCGGATGCAGGCCATCAAGGCTTCGCTGCAGGGCTAGACACTCCCGCCGTCCGCGACGACGACGTGCGGGTCCGCCGCAGCCGCCGCCGGCCGCTCCGCTCACGCGCCACGCTACGCCGCTCCCCGCCACTCGCGCACGCCGCCTCAACCATCTCCTGCACCCACGAGGCAATGACCCGGCGCGCGTTCGCATGCGGCGTCGCCGGTTGGCCGGGACCAGCAGAAAACGTCCACACGTGCTTGCGGATGCGGGCCTCGGGCGGGCACAGGTTGCGCCGGACCGCAGGCGCCGTCCGCGCCAACGCCGCCCGGTCGCCTGGCCCGTTCTTGTCCTCGACATGGAGAACAAGCAGCGTCGAGACTGTCGGACACGCCACTGTGAGGAGCGTGCCGTCGGCCGAAACCGAGATCGACGACAGCTGCCGCATGTCGTTGCGCGGAAAGACCTGGACCGGGTCGCGGACCGCGAGCCCAGTCGCCAGGCTGAACACGTGGACCGCGTTGTTGAGGAGTGCGTAAACATAGTCGGCACCGGTGACGTCAAGCACTGGGCTCACCACAAACGAGCCGTGCGCGAGGTGCTCCGACCCGAGGTCGTGGGTGATGAGCGGCGCCGTGAGAGAGCCCGATGCCAGGTCGTAGATCACAAACAAGACCCGCCCGGGATTCGGCAGGAGCGCCGGCATGTGCACAAGCACAATGAGCTGGTTGCGCGCAGCTGTCAGCTGCGCGTCGAGCACCACTCCGCGGTTGTGCGAGACGGCGTAGAGCTGTGACCGGTGCGCCACGAGAACGCTACCGTCGGTAAACGTGAGAGTGTGAAAGACGGCAACACGACTGGGGAGCACGCGCGGCCGGTAGACATGGTGAGTGAGCCCGCCCGAGCCCGGCGCAGAGTGCCACGGCTCATCGGCGAGGCCGAGCTCCGCCAGCTCCGCCAGCGCCTGCGGCATCGACTCGTGCATCGACGACCGGTCGAGATCGGGTACGCGGAGCGAGTCATCGTGTGCAAGCGCATACTCGGTGGCAAAGTGGACTACCGGAGGCGGCGCCGACGATGCAGGCGCCCACGACGCGTCCACAAGATCAAGCCTGACCGAGTGCGAAGGAGTGTACCAGCCAAAGCCCGAGAGCTGCGTCACTGCGTAGTCCCACAAGTGCAGCACGCCTGAGACGTCGATCGAGATCATGGTCGGGCCGACCGATGGAAAGACCACTGCCACCGGCGGCGAGCTGTGACCCTTAAACAGCTCGGCCTTGAGCCGGCCTGCAAGCGGCAGCATTCGTCGCGACGCAACTAGGGGGAGGTAGACCACCGACGCCGCCAGCGGCGACGAAGCCACCAGGATGTCGCCGGAGGCGAGCGCTACCACCACAGACGGCTGTGTCCCGAGCACGGTGAACCGCGGATGCCAGCCGCAGCGACAGGGAGCAACCGCTTGCTACCGCTCGCGACACTGGCCGCCCCGCCTGGGCCATCGCCAGCTTCGCCCTTGCGCTTCTTGCGCTTGGCCTTGGCTTTGGCTTTGGCCGTCCCACTGCCCGCTGCCGCGTGCAGTACCTCGGCCTCTGCAAGGTTACCGTCGCCATCGGTCGTGTCCAGCACGGTCATGCCCCTGATGCCAAACTGGTTCTTACGTAGCGCTGCGACGAGCGTGAGCGGTGGGAGAGCAAACTCGCCGTCTTTGGTCCGCAGTGCGGTGCGGGCCGAGGACGACTCGGCTACCGCCACAGGATCCGGATGCATAGAGAAGATCTTGAGATTGAAGCGCGCATCGAGTACCAGCAGCCGCGAACCGTCGGCCGACCACGCCATGTGCGAGACCGGCGGCGCAAAGGAAGACTTGGACTCACGCAGCAGCATCGGGCTACCCGCCTCGTCCATATTGACCACGCGGAGCGTACCGGTCGAGAGCGCAAGTGCAAGATGCGAGCCCGACGGCGCAAAGGCCGAGCACGTCACGCCGCCCGACGCCACGTCAAAGTTGGCAGGGAGCAAGTCAACAAACGACCAGTACGACGCCTCAGCCTCGGCGTACGCTGCAAGGACCTGTACCACAGGGATGGAGGCCAGGTCGAGGACGTCGAGATCGTCGGCAAACTCCGACTCGAAATCCGAGTCCGAGTCGGCAGCAGCGAGCGCAGCGGCGGCAGCGGTCGTCGAGGCACCGTCGGCTGCCCGGACAGCTGCACGCGCATCGTCGCGTGGACGCAACTTAAGCCTGTGCACAAACGTTGTTGGCCTCGCCTTGAGCTTGGCTCGCTGGATCTCCTGCAGCGACTCTCGGATCATGGTCGCGTGCTGCGAGGAGCCAAAGCGCGAGACGAGGACCGAGACAATGAGGCCCGAAGAGAGGGAGTCGGCAAGGCCATCGATGGCCATCATCTCGTGCCATAGATCCAGTGCGAGCTCGTGAACGACTTCGGTGATGAGGTCGGCAAGAATCTTGTGTGCGCGATTGGCCTCGGCCTCGGCCACCATCTGGTCGAGGAGCGCAGCCTGCTCTTCCTGCCACTTGGCCTGCTCTGCGCGGAGGACCTCGATGTCTGGAAGGGCATTGGCAGCCGACGCCGCGAGTGCCGAGTTCACGATGGCGTTCACAATCGGGACCAGAGCGTCAAAAAGTGGCTGCGATGCTGGCGGCAGCGTTTCCTTGGCCCACTCGCCCGAGTAGGTCCACGGCGTGGCCGCCGCCTGCAGCAAGGCATGGTCTGCCTTGAGCGCCTCGAGCCGCTGCACGTCCGCATCGATGCGCTCGGCAACGCGGCGGACGGTAGCCGTCACCTCTTCGTCAACTTCGGCATCGGCAAGTGGTTCGCCCGGCCCGCGTCGGCCGCGGCGCGAGCCAGGGCGGAGCGGCTCGCCAAAGTCGGCTTCGGAGAGCTCCATGTTTGAGAGGATAAACTCGCGTGGCGGAGCGTTGCCCAGCTCCATCTCGACCAGAAAATCGAGACCCTTGGAGACAATGGCGTTGTGCTCAGCCTTGGATGCCATCAGTGCCTTTCGCTTCTCCAGCAGCGCGGCCCGCTCTGCGTTAAGCTTCTTGGTGCTTGCCACCGTGGAGCGAGCCTTGCGCGACCGCGCAGCAGCGCGCTGGACGAGCACATCGTCGATGACCCGGAAGCCGTCGCGACCCTCGGGCTCTGTGGCCAGCTCCTTGGCGTACGCCGCGAGCCGGTCGTCACCAGCGGCCTGATTCTCGAGCTCCTCAGCAAGGAGGTCGGCCTTGGCCAGCAGCTGCTTCATCGTTCCAGCGTAGAGCAGCGTGTCGTTGGTCTTGAGCTCTTGGATTGACTCGAGCGCATACTGTCGGACTCGCAGCTCGCGGGCCATGCGCTCCTTCTCGGCTCGGACCTCCTCGAGTCGGACCCGATGCAGGGCCATGAGCTCAGCCTGGTTCTCTAGCTCCTTGTCCTCCAGCGCAGAGTCCATGACGTTCTCTTCGCGCTCGCGCTGGGCCTTGGCTCGTTGCAGGGCAGCGACTTCCTTGGCAAGGTCCGTGCGCTTGGCCTGCGCGCCGTTCATGCGGCGGCCAGCCTCAGCAATGGCGGCCTCGAGCTGTGCGGCACGCATCTTGTCCTCAGTAGCCTGCTTTCGGCGAACCAGCTCCTTCATCCGCGCTACTTCGGCCTGGTGCCGTGCGAGCTCGCCCTGAGCCTTGGCCAGGTCAGCTTCGGTGACCGGGGCGAGGCCGTCCCGACCCAAGACCGACTCGGATGACTCGGGTTCGAGCGGCGCCTTCTCCTCGCCACGCATGTCCTCGAGCGCAGTCTCGAGAGAGCGAGCGGGCTGGGTTGCGGCGCGCGGTGCACGGGTCAGCGGTGGTGCATCCATGCTGTGGCGGAGGATGGGCACGGGCACAACAAGGCACGCGGGTAACAGGGGTGCGGACGGAGAGGCCAACAGGCCGACGAGCACACGTCTTCAAACGGAGCGGCAAAGACCTCTGGCAAGCCACCGAGTCGCAGAGGATCAAGGCGTGCCAAGCAGTACAAGAGCAAAGTTGTACCGGCTTCTCGCTCGCTTCTCGCTTCTCGCCTCGACCTCCCCCCTATCCCACCTGTCCAATCACCGGTCGTGAGGTGTTGGTGGCCAGCGAGCGCTTGCCATTCGCACTCGGGCGGGAAGCAGCGTGGAAGGCGGTCGACTGTGGTGACAAGACAGGCAGGAACAGAAGGAGTCCACCGAGCGGAAGGAGGGTGTGACAGGACCGTGTAAGGTACCACGCCTGGGTTCAACTTGGCACCACGCCTGGGTTCAACTTGGCCGTGTGAGGCGCGTGCTGCTGCTGTGCGGTGAGCGTCTTGGCTGGAGAGTATGGCCTCGTGGGTCTTTGACGCTTGCGAGGTGACGCCCATGGCGGCTGTCGAGCCGGCTGCGATCGAGGCTGGCGAGAGCTGCAGAGATGGGGTGGGGGAGCTGGGTGCAGGAATGACCGGTAGAGAGGGCGGCTTGCCCTGCAAGGGTGTTGTGGCGGTGGTTGTGGCGTCGGCGATGGGCCTGAAGCTGTGCAGAGTGGACGCTGTAGGGGGCGGCCTGGTGCACGCGTCCCAGATGGTAGTGCCTGACGGCCCGGCGGCACAGGGGGTGGCGAGGGCGGTAGCGTCGGTTGTCGGCCGCCGACGAGCTGCGCGACTTGCACATCGGGTGTGGGCTGTGCTGGACTCGGGCGTGCTGACGGCGTGGGACGTGGTCTGGGCGCCCGCACATGATGATGAGAGTGACGCCGAGCTCCGTTACGTCCACGCCGACTGGGTGCTGGTACTTCCAGTTGGATTTGGCATGCCAACGGCACTGGAGATGGTGGTGACGGAAGCTGGAATGGTACTGGCGGTTGCGGCGTCGTCGAGCGGCAAGATGGCGATGGCGGATGTGACCGCACCCGAGTCGGCGGTGTGGGTGGCGGAGGCGCGCGCCGGGATTGGGCGGATCAACGCACTGGCGAAGCTCCCACTGGTCCCGGGCTCATGGTCAGACGGAGTGCGGGGAATGCTCAGTGTGGTGGGGCAGGGCATCGAGCTGCAAGTGTGGCAGATAACGGCGCAGGTTGCGGGTAGCAGCATTGCGAGCGGCATGACGCTGGAGTGGGAGCTCACGTTGCACTGCGAACACGTCCTACCCGACTCGGCGCTGGTTGAGGCCATTGCGGCGCGAATCTCGCGGGATGACGAGGGCGTAGTTGAGGTTGTGCTCGGCACCGATGCGGGCGCGAGCCTTCTGCGGCTCGAGTGCGAGTATGGCAAGGTTGTGAGCGTGGCGAGCTTGCCAGCGGATGACGCGGGCGCTGCAGTGTTCGCAGCATGCTTCTCACCCGAGGGCGTGTTCGCGGCCGTGGGAACCGCCAGTGGTGATGTTGAGCTGCTCTCGATCTATCCGTCTTGCGCAACCGGAGCGCGCGTTGGGCGGCTGCGGCCGCGGTACCGTCTTGATGCCGAGGTCATGGCGGTGGTGCCGACGACAAGCGGGGCGCTTGTGGCGTGGTCGTCGCAATGGGAGGAGATGCGCATCCTGGCACCCCCGCAGTGGTGCGAGTGGCGTCCAGAGCGCTCGCATGCCTTTCCGCCACATGTGGCGCGGACCGCACGGTTCATCCTGTATCTCAAGCAGAAAGCTGACGCGGCTGCCATCGAGCGCGACGCCGTCGACGCGGGCGCGGACCCAGCACTGCAGCGGGTGACGCTGACGGATCTCCCGACCGAGGTTCTGTTCCGAATCCTCGTGTACGTTTGCGGAGTGACTCTGGTCGTCGATAATGTGTGGGTGTAGGTGACAGAGTAGATGTTGCTAGGTGTGCGAGTGAGGGAGGGCGTGCGAGTGTTGGCTGGCGTGCGGCACCGCCCGCCACGTCCACAACTCGACTCGGTGCCGACACGACGAGGTCGGGTGTGACAGACTTGTAATGCGCGGTGTGAGCGTAGGTCGCACTTCGTTGGCGGTGGTGTATGCTGTCCAGTTTCTTGATGCGCTGGGCTTTGCACTGCTCATGCCTATCCTACGTACGTGCCAGTGCGTGGTGGGGCGTGAGCCGGTGACGTCACTCGCAGAGGTGATTGATAGCAGACCGTGTTGGAACATGGCTTCGGCCTGGCGTGTGTTTGTCTGATGAGAGGGGGACTAACGTGGTGGCTGGGTCTGTGGTTGTGGTGATGGTGGCGATGGCGTGGCGATGGCCCGGATCACAGCGTTCTATCTCAAGACGCTTGATGGATACTCGTATCAGTACCGCGGACTGTGGTACGGCGGTGTGACGGGTGCGTACTCGTTTGGCCAGCTACTGGGATCAGGAGTGCTGGGGGTGTTGTCGGATCGCATGGGGAGAAAGCCGGTGCTGGTATGCGGCCTGTTGGGCGGGGCAGGACTGATGGTGTACACGGCGTTTGCCCCGTCGGTCATCCATTTGCTCGCCGCCCGCTTCCTGGCGGGGCTCTCGGCGGGAACAGGCGGCGTGTGCGGTGCGTACATCTCGGACGTGACGGCCAAGGATGTGCGATCCAAGTACATGGGTCTGCTTGGAGCCATGGTCGGGCTGGGGCTCATTGCCGGGCCCGGCTTGGGAGGCCTGGTGGCATCGCTGGCGGGCGTCCGGACCGCGTTCCGATACCTGGCTTTGGGCTCGTCAGGCATGCTGTTTGTGACAGCACTCGGTTCGGTCCGGCTCTTCAACGAACCGCCAGACGAAGCGGTCGGATCGGCGGCTTCGGTGGCTTCGGTGGCGTCGCTGCAGCGGACGCTGGCGATCAATAGCGCGTCGGCGGTGGCTGGCGCCGAAGGTGAGCCGCTCCTCCCTGTGGCCAGCAAGAGCAGAGCAGGGGCCGGACGGCGAGTGCGGATCACTCCGGCGCTGTTTGCCAAGCTCATGCGGAGCCGGTCCGTGCTTCTGCTCTGCATCTCGTCGTTCATGTACGCGTGCCTGTTTGTGGCGTTTGAGATCGCCACGCCGCTGTATCTCATCGCCACGTTTGACATCTCAGCAGGTCACGTGGGGCTTTTGTTCACGGTTGTGGGCGTGGTACTCATCATTGTGCAGGCTGGGTTCTTTTCACGCATCATGCGCGGCGTGGGTGGACCGCGGCGGCTGGTTGTGGGCGCGCTGCTGTGCCTCTCAGTCCCGGTCTCGGTCGCGCTCCCGTTTCAGCCGACGCTCCTCACCTTTGCCCTCCTCACTGTCCTACTCATCATCGGACAGGCACTTGTGGTGCCATCGCTTGCAGTCATGGCTTCAGTCCTCTCCGAAGGCGCCAATGGGACCGTTCTTGGGGTGCGGCGATCGTTTGTGTCGGCGGCGCGGGCGATCGGGCCTCTCGCGGTGGGGGCACTGTACGACACCTCGGCCACCGCGATTCTTCCGCACGCAATCCGGCACCATCACCACATCCTCCCGTACTGGGTTGGCGCCGTCTGTGGCCTGTTTTCTGCTGCATGCGCCTTTGGCATCTCGCGCGCCGCCGTCTCGCTCGCCGCCGATCCGGCCCCCGACGATGAGGATGCGGCCAGGGACGGATCCGAAAGCGACTAGCTGCGCCCATGATCGCATGAGTGGTGCGAGACGCGTGATTGTACATGGATTAACACCTCCCTGGGGCATGAAGCATGAACGGCGTAGCGATCGGGGGGGGGGGGGGGGTGGCGGCTGAGCTGTGGCACAGCAGCGCACCAGCCCAGTACCTGCCACCGGGCGACCTCCTCCCTCCTCTCTCTACTACCGTCGCCGCCACCATCACCTCTCTCCCTGGAACAACTGCAGAGGCGATGGTGTTCATTCCGTGGGAGCTACTTCAGCCGTGGCTGGAGGCCAACAAGGTGCCGATTGCGTGTGTGTGCGCTGGTATTGTGGCTGTCATTGTGGCCGTCGTTGTGTGGTGGCGGCGGTCGTCGGCTTCGCAGGACGGTAGGTGGCGGAGAAGGCGAAGGAGGGGCAAGGGAGGGGGGAGGGGGGAGGGAAGGGGGAGGTGTGTGTGTGTGTGTGTGTGTGTGTGTGTGTGACTCACACAGGCGGACTGTTCTGGTGTGTGTGTGTGGGGGGGGGGTGGTGGTGGTGGTGGTGGTCGGGGCGGACGGGGCGGACGACGGCGGGCAGTGGAGCGGCGGTTCATGCAGCGGATGGCGGGCGATATGGAGTGGTTTGAGGAGCACATGCTCGAGTCGTTCTCCGGATGGGTGGATCGGTGCGGTGAGGCGTATGTGAAGAAGCAGTTTAGCGAGACGGCGGCCGAGTGGAACGAGATGCACGAGATGGTGCAGTCGGAGCAGGTGTCGGGTGGGCGCGGCAACTTGCTGGAGATGCTCAAGGGCTCGCGAGTCCCTGTCCTCACCGAGGCCATGGTCAAGCAGTTTGATGAGTTTGTCAAGGCCGGCACGCTCTCGTCGTCGTTCAACTTTCTGATGAAGGCTGCCAAGAATGTGTGGCTGGCCAAGCGCGAGGGGCCGGTGCCGGACTCGATCGGCAAGCTGGAGGACGAGGTCAAGTTCGACTGGGCCATGGTCTTTATCGACGACATCGTGCTCAAGTCGAACGGTGACAAGCTCGCCCTCTTCCCGTTCCTCGCCGAGGTCAAGATGACTGGCCAAGAGTACCACATGCTGGAGATCATTGTCTCGCACGTTGTCTCGGTCTTCCAGCGCAACTACATCAAGACTTGGGTTGCCGACCACGCCGAGATGCTCGACGCCAAGCCGTACCGGCTCCATCACCCGGACGAGATCCTGCGGCGAGTGGTGGCGATTCTCGACGCCGAGGCCAAGAAGGCCGAGTAAAGCGCTTGATGATGGATGGTTTGGAAGCAGCAGCGTTTAGGCCATTCTGTACCGTAAAGGCCTTGGTTGAGTACGCGGGCGCAGTTAGAACTGGCGGAACTGCTCGTAGACGAGCGAGCGGATCTCAAAGTACTCGTCGCAAAAGACGCCTTCGACAGCAAACTCGCCGGTGGCGAGCTTGCGGATGCCGACCTTGTCGTTGCACACCAGCACTTTGTCGACGGTAAACTCGACGGCGTAGCCTGCAGCAGCGAGAATCTGGCGCAGGGTGTTGAGCTGGACGTCGCCCACAAAGATGGGGTCGTGGCCAGGCGCGTCGGGGTTGGGCTCGAGGATGGGCAGGCCGTGCGGGTCGGGCTGCGCCACGACGGCGTCAAAGTAGGCGACTTGGTAGTCGTCGACCTGTTGGTAGGTGAGGTGCGAGGTCATAGCGTCCTGGAGCACAATCTTGTGCGAGGCCGACTGCGACGAGAGGTCAACCGACTCGCCCACGGCTGGAGCCATGACGCCTTCCTTGGCGATGCCTGCCGCCTTGCAGTACTCGACCATGGCTGCGGTCTCAGCGTCGTTGCCGTGGACGACAATGAGGCGCCGCGGCTCGACGTGCTCGACAATCTTCTTCATCGAGAGTCCATCGGAGCGGCCCGAGTAGTCGAGCGAGAGGATCGAAGCACGGATCTGGACGTCGGCGTCCCACGAGATGCACTTGGTCGGCGTCCGGTTCTCCAGAGGATCCTCGAGGTCCATGCCCGAGATGGAGGCGTCGACTGGCGCCTCCATCGACGAACCGTGGACCGGGTTGGTTCCAGCACCGGTCTGGCCCGGCTCGGCCTGCTTCGAGTTTGCGCCGCCGGTGAACGAATGACCCGACGCGTCGTTGGCGTCGGCCATGTACTCGCCGCGGGCGTAGATCGAGGTGTCGACGATGGCGCCGTACGGGCCGACAACCGTGTCCTTGGAGCGTTGTACGGGAACATGGGAAACGACTGGGTCTTCTTGAAGAACGAGCCCGAGGCGCCAGCGCCGGTCGTCCCGTCGCGGTTGACCATGAGGTCGAACGAGGCGAGGCGCGAGCCGGCGCCGCCGGCGCCCTCGTCGTCCGAGCCCATGTCCATGGTCTCGAGCGTGTCGAGGAGCTCGTCTTCGGGGTTGAGGGCGGCGGCGGCAGCGGCGGCAGCGGCTGTGGCAGCCTCACTGCGCTCTTGCTCGCGGACGCGCAGGGCGCGCTCAAGCTCCTCGCCTTGCAGCGGAATGCGCTTGTGGAGACGAAGCGCGACCGAGGCGGGTGGGCCGGCCGGCGACGCCAGCGTGGCCGCGAGCGAGCCGCGCCGGGCCGGTTGGGTAAGGACAACCAGGTTGGCTGGGTTTGGCGCCATCTGCACAAACAGGTCGCGGGCCGGCCCAGCCTCGAGCGACGGGTGCGAGGCAAGGATGACCATCGGGCGCGGCAGGGCGTCAAGGTCCTCAGGCGAGTGGGCAATGTGCAGGTAGCGGAGGTCCATCGGGTTCGACCGCGACTCGTCAAACAGCCGCTGCAACGTGTCGGACATCCACTCGAGCTGCGAGCGGGCCTGCATGGCGACCGAGTACGACGAGTGCGAGTAGAGAACAAGGCCGTACTGCGCAAGCTTCTGCGACTGCCAAAACTGCGACAGCAGGAGCGCAAGCTCGAGGACTCGCAGCGACGAGTCGATGGGCAGAAGAACGTTGCCACCAGAGCGCAGCGTCGACGTGATCGAGGAGAGGAGCAGCTTGTCGCGTGCCTTGCGCTTCCGGCCCACGCCCGAGGTAAAACCGAGCGCGTTGGAAATAAGCAGCGACGGTCGGGTCAGCGTTTCCAGGAGCGTGCCGTCCAAGTGACGCTCCTTCTTGTGGTTGTAGTCGACGGCGTACACCACCTCCTCGGTGTCTTTGGTAATCTTCCACACCGTTCCACCGAGCGTCCGCCCGGCTGCGTACGGCGTGATGGTGATGGTCGACTCGAGGCCCGGCGCCGTCGACGCCTTGCCCCGGCTCAGCGTCACGTGCTGGGTGTACTTGAGCTTGACCATGAGGTCAAAGGCGGTGTCGACGTCGTCGAGCGAAAAGATGTCAAAGTCCGAGACCGCATCCTTGGCGAGGAATACATCATACATGTGGAGAAGTCCCATGTTGTACACTGGGAGCGTGGCGTAGATCGGCACGTCGAGGCCCATCTTGCCGACCACGTAGGGCAGGCCGCCAAGGTGTGCCGAGTCGGCATGTGAGACGAGGACGCAGTTGACCCGCGGGAGCACCTGCCTCAGCGGCTCGAGCATCTCCACGTCAAACGCATCCGTCCATCCGCAGTCGAGAAGGATGCACGTGTCATCGATCTGTGGTCGTCAGAAGAAGACGTGGCGTGGCGACAGGGCGCCCCCATCGAGCAGCAAGAAAATATTCGCAGCCAAAAATAGTCGCCACCAGCAGCGCGAAGGTGAGGGGGAGTGTGTGGGGGAGGGAGGGATAGTGAGTGGTGAGAGTAGCGGAGGGTGTATGTGTGTGTTGTGCGTGTGCGTGGAAGTGTATGTATGTGTCATAAGGAACAATAGGTGTCCGCATGTTGTCGCCCCCGGAGTGCGGGGAGGGGGGGAGGGAGGGGAAGGAAGCGACGGCCAGATGGCAGTCACTCCCGCCACTCCCTCTCCCCCCCGTCCCCGCCCCGAGGGATAATGCTCAGGGCCTTAAAATAATCATCCGCATACAAAAGAGGGGGGTGGGGTGGAGGGAAGGGAGTAGTGGGTATACGTACCTCTAACAGGTAGCACAGTGGGTCGTCTGTATGCGCACCAATCAGTGGGGTGAACCGCACCGACGTCATGCCCGCAGTAGAATTGGAGGCGGTGACGAGAGCAGGGTTACGTCTTCTGCTGACAATTTGCCAGTGAGAGGTGGGCGGGGGGGGGGGGGGGAGGGGAGGGGACAAGGAAGGGGTGCTGCCACTGCGAACGAGTGGCGGGAGACGGGCGGGAGAGCGACCTGAGTTTGGGACGTAGAGGGGAGAGGAGGATTGACTGGGCGCAAGGGGGCGTGAAAGGGGGAGGGGGTGTGTGAGGTTGAAGGTCACCTCTCCCAGTGTGTATATACTTGTATCACCGCTTCGGAGTACTTGTTGTGTGTTCTTTAGGTAGGTGGTAGAAAGGAGAGGGAGGGGGAAGGGGGGGGGGTGGGGGGAGGGGGGGGAGAGAGGGAGGAGGGCGAAGAGGGAGAGGGAGACGCTCTGGGGCGACGGCACACTCACGCTCGGCTGGACGTGCACTCGTTCTACTGCGGTGGCATGTGCACGTGTGTGTGTGTGTGTGTGTGTGTGTGTGTGTGTGTGTGTGTGTGTGTGTGTGTGTGCGCGTA